AAATTTGTCTCTTGTGACACGTCAGACTAATGTGGACTGAGCAAGCCTTTTGGTTAGGTTTTTATTTTGAAAGATTTAACAACAATGACCAACAGAACACTGGTCGAGCGGGTTGTCTACGTTTGTGACCTTTTCGCAGTTGAATGTACATGTAAAATGAGCAGTAATGAACGGAAATACCATTGTATATTGTAACATGTCAAAAGACGTAATAGTTCGCATTGGGAAAATATTAAGTCGTATTTAAATAGGTGTTTTAAAAGTGAAAAAATAAATATGCCGCAACTTTAGCGTAAAGCGGTTTTTTTGTTTTGGTAAACCATTATTTACAGAAATTCACAGAATTATTCGGGTTACAGAACATAAATTGAAAGTTCGGAATCGAAGCACGCACGTTTTCCGACGAGTAAAAAGTTCAGCTTTATAACTGTTGGATGAGTTGTTTTGGATCGTGTTTTTAAAAGCATTCTGTGAATTGCATATTATTGTTTATAATGAAGTGTATTGTAGGATAGATTACTTAACAGCAGCCAACTTGTTCTCTGGTATGTTATAATAATGTTTCTCGAATAAATATATTTAAGATACTGTTGAGAGTTTAACATTATAATTGAGTGACCAGACCTCTTCATTTAAAGAAAGAAAATGCGTAAAGTTAAATTATTTTTTCCCTACAAGTTCAGATCAGACTCTTCCACGCTAACAGTCACAATTTCTATAACTTTCCTTGCAATGCATTGTTATCTAAAATCAGAATTGCCCCATTTTGTTAATGAGCATTGAGGAATTTTATGTTATGGAACTTCAAACATTTGAGACATGTTTTATAAGGAGATTTGTGTATTATGTTAAGGTTGATGTATCACGGTGTTTTATGCACATAAAAATGCACCTAAAATATAAATGTCCACTGTCTCATAATAAGCCAAGTTTCACTTGGAATATTTCAACATAAGTTTCTGTAAATATGTTCACGCAAGCTTGTTTATGTATACATATTATATATCTTTTGTCAATTTTTAAATTAGCAAAATGATCTACACTGTTTTTAAATGTTACATAGATAATTGTAATAACTAAGTAAGTGTGAGATGATCTGGTATACGTCTCCACACTGTTGTAGTTTTAATATGTGACATGCCATTAAAACTTTTTTTATCATTTTCCTATTTAATACACAGCTAATATTCAATTATTTATTTTGCTAAAACAATGAGAATACAAACTGATCATTTCACTGAGTTATCTAACATTTAATAAATAATGCACTGCTGAGTTTAAAATGGTTTGCACTTGTCTTTAATATGCTATTAATATGTGCACAGAGCTGTCTTGTATGTCACATGGTATATAAAAAAAACATATACTATGCTCACATCAGCATTTTTGGTAAAATGTATGGAATCATAATTTGCAAATTTGCTAAGCTGTACACCTATTAGGACAGGCAATTTGATTTTCAACAATATTTTCACTGATATTCAATCTGACACCATCGTTGGTTTCAAACATGTACATTTTCAATTTCCAGTCCATTGATTACTTAATTTGAACGTAACAACTTCTAATGATTTTTAGCCTGTAACTCTTACAGCCCTTGAACACTTCTGAATGAAAATACTAGCTGGAACATAAATTAAGATTTGATTTTAACACGCAAGTGACTAGGTAACTCCTACTGGCAGTGGTACTACAGACCACACATTAAACAAGATTGCTTTTGAATCTGATTCAGCATATTCAATCAAAATATAACTCAGTTCAAAAATAAAAATCATTGCAAAAGTTAAAGATGTTGAACAGACTCCAAGTAGAAAGATAATGGGCCTGCTAAAGGTTGAGCCTAATCTGCTGCCTCGAACAAGAGGGTCTGTATTTGGGGAAGTAGACTCATCTGTCTGTTCAGTGGAGATAAAGCTATGCCAAATAAACTGTGTAGAAGACACAAGCTACGGGTAGGTGTCTGGCAATTACAGGTGGAGGAGAGTTAATGAGTAAGAGAGACTAGATATTTATAGAGTCATACAGCACGGAAACAGGCCCTTCGGTCTAACATGTCCATGCTGAACTAATCCCAAACTAAACTAGTACCATATGCCTGCTCCTAGCCATATCCCTCCAAACCTTTCCTATTCACGTACGTATCCAAGTGTCTTTTAAACATTGTAATTGTACCCGCATCCACCACTTCCTCAGGAAGTTCATTCCACATGTGAACTACCCTCTGTGTAAAAAACTGCCTCGTGTCTTTTCTTAAATCTCTCTCCTCTCACCTTAAAAATGTGTCCCCTAGTCTTGAAATCCACCATCCTAGGGAAAAGACAACTACCATTAACTCTATATAGATCCCTCATTATTCTATAAACTCCTATCAGGTCACCTCTCAACCTCCTATGCACCAGTGAAAAAAGTCCCATCCTATCCCATCCCTTTATAACTCAAACCATTCTTACCTGGCAAAATCCTGGTAAATCTCTTCTGAACCCTCTCCAGTTTGATAATATCCTTCCTATAACTGGGCAACCAGAACTGG